GGGTGGGCCAAACTGTATGGCTGGAAGGATGTGGATGTGATTAGTGGAGTCTTGCAAATCTATTGTACGAGTCCCTTTGTCACTCTTCCTCTCTTCCTTCTTTTCCTTCGTTCACTGTCCAGTCTTCCTTTTTCTCTCTCCCTATGTCCCAACTCTTCCTCTTTTCTCCGTCCTCTGTCCCCAATCTTCCTCTTTTCTTCTGTCCCTCTGTCCCTCTCTGTCCCATTCTTCCTCTCTCCCTCTCTCCCTGTCTCCCTCTGTCCCTGTCTCCCCCACTCCCTCTGTCCCTCTGTCCCTCTCTCACTCTGTTCATCTGTCCCTCTCTCCCACTGTCCCGCTGTACCTCTCTCCCCCTCTCCCTCTATCCGTCTCGCTCCCTCTCCCTCTGTCCCCTCTTCCTCAGTCCCCATCTCTCCCTCTGTTTCTCTGTCCCTCTCCCTCTGTCCCTCTCCCTCTGTCCCTCTCTCGCCCTCTCCCTCACTCCCTCTGTGCCTCTCCCGGTCTCTCCCCCTCTCCCTCCTTACCTTTGTCCCTCTCTCACTCTGTTCCTCTGTCCCCCTCTCCCACTGTCCCGCTGTACCTCTCTCCCCCTCTCCCTCTGTCCGTCTCTCTCCCTCTCTTCCTCTGTCCCTCTCCCCCTCTGTTCATCTGTCCCTCTCTCCCTCTCTCCGTCTGTCCTCCCCTCCCTCCCTCCCTCTGTGTTTCTGACCGTCTGCCCGTCCGACCAAACCTGATCAAGTACGATATTGACCCAGATCTGAGTCGCTTCTGAATCGTGTTGCATGGCAGGAACGTGTACATTCTGAGCAAGTGTGACTTCGACCTGCACTTCATCCCAGTCTCCTGCCCAGCCACTTGAGTGTTGACATGTCTCAACAGGCTCCCTCTCTCGTCTCATGTGTGCGCGACAGGTACGTGTACAATCTGATCAAGTACGAGTTCGACCTGCAGTTTGACATCCCGTCACCTACCCTGCCACCAGGCGGCCAGAGCTAGAGCTGCCAGAGCTGGATGGCAAGACAGCCAAGGTATGCAGGGCGATGGTGTCTGGGAAGATACTCCTCTCGAGGGGGAGGAGAAGGGGGGGGGGGGACGAGGGGGAGGGGAGGGGGGGTTGTCGTACAGAATACCCGTTTTGAGGTGCCTAAAGAATCTCTATAAAGCTAGAGCTGCGTGAATTGGACAGCAAGGCAACCAAGGTATGCAAGGCGACATGTGATCAGGAATGTATTTTCCTGGGGGACTGGATGAAAGGAACTTTCAGGTCGATCAATCAGCCTCTCTGTTTTGGTCTTGTTCTCTTGTCCCACACTTCCTTCCATCACTCTTGCTCACTGTAAAACCTAACTCCAAACCATCTTTCTATTTGTATTTCAGATGTACCGGGGGGGAAAGATTTGTCTGACGATACATTTCAAGCCTCTGTGGGCAAAGAACAGGTCAGTCTGCCTGTTCAATACTTGATTCGCGGGCGCAACTATTACCAAGGCGGGCAGAATTGTCTCACAAGGCATTTCAAGGCGTTGTGATCAATAGCTTCATTTCACCCCATGCCCCTCCTAACCCCTTACTGTTTGATCCTATATAACTCGTCCTTACCTCTCCATCCCTTGGAGACAAGGTAAATCAAGTTTGTGCCTGTTGTCCCTCCCATCCCCCCATCCCCTTTTCCCCCTCTCCCCCATCCCCTATCATAGCCTTTGCCCCTTGTCGTTCCCGGCAGTCGTCGGTTTGGGATAGCGCATGCATATGTCTAGGCCTTGGGCCGTGGCTGGCAGCACAAGACTTTTCAGATGTTCCCCCATCCTCCACATGCCCCTCGCCCCGTGTGTCTTGCTCGCAGTCCTCGGTTCGGGATAGCCCATGCGCTGTGCTTGGGTCTGGGCCGTGGCTGCAGCAGAAGTGCCGTTCCTCGTGGACTCGGGTGTGGTTCGCCCCAAAGATGTCACAACAATAAAGCCGCCGGCCAGTGCTTAACAATTTCTTAAGACATACATGTCACAAATCACCGTCATCGCCCGGATTCAAGACATACATGTCCTATCCAATACTGCTCTGAAAAAGGGTCATTAATCTTATCAGCAGAACGACCAATGTGTATTAGAAATATTATTAGCAAGAAACCCCTTGTTTAGTAAAGTTTGTCATTGCAAGACTGTTTCTTTTAATAGCGAGACAAACGGAGCCGCCTTACTAGGAGATCTGGCTGCTAGGGAGGGACTCTTTTAAACTGACGAAACTATTGTGTAACCCACGCTAGCCAATCAGGTTCGGGATTTTTTATCACTTTCGTTCTGAAAGGCGATCGCTCATTCGCCAGCTTACTATTTTTGCGGCAAAGCTACGCATATACTTACCGACCAGGTTGTTGCAGGTGCCGAGCCTGGTCCTTACGGACAAGTTTTCTGCGCCTGGTTCATCAAGAGCAAAGCTACGACAGTGTTCAAGCCCTACTAGCTCTCACGAAGAGGAATCACGAACACCTAGGTAGGAGTGCTCTACGTTCGCTGACTAGTTGTACAGTGCTTGGAATCCAGTGCCTAGAATCATGACTAGTATCCACGGCCGTATGGCGACTCTTGAGCTGACGCAAGAAGAAATCCCGCAGCAGCAGCCACAGCTTAGAGCCTCTGGTCACGTGTCAAGTATGACTGACGACCTTCTAGGAACCATTCTTCTCCTCGTCGCATCTAACGGCACCAAATTTGATAGCCACGACTGTCTTACGAATAACGAGCCTATTCTGCAAAAGAGGATCGAAAACGCGTTAAACGAGCACCTGCCGAGCGAGAGCGTCTTGTTCGGGTTACCCGAGGCTCCTGTCTCCACGGCCTCGTCGCTCACTGCCTTCCGCCACGCTCTGGTCTGCAAGCGATGGCTGCGCGTCGCCAGATCCGTGCATCCCGCCATCGTCGTGCCTCGAAAACGCTTCTTCTCCTCTCGAGCTCTCGCCTCGCTCCTCGCTTCACCCACTTTGGGATTCCCGAACCTTCGTCATCTGCATCTCGGAGAATCAGGATTGGACGTCGTAAATCGCCACCTCGTGCGATCCATCTGCACCGGATGCGGCTCATCCTTGACCCATCTCACGATGCATCTGGACGGCCGTTCAACCAGTGATGTCCACGCAACCGGCCGGCAGTAGCCGCGGGGAGCTGTCGACCAGCCTTGCAGCGATCTCGGCCTCAGACGTCGCCGAGATCTGTAATTCCTGCACGCGATTGGTCAATCTGGATCTACGTCTGGGTGAAGGTGTATGCGAGATCCCAGCTTCCATCAGCCGCCTGCAGCAGCTCACGCGCCTCAGCATGAGCTTCAATAATGTTACCGGGTTACCAGAGGAGCTGTTGAGCTTGTTGGGACTTAAGCACTTACTCATCGCGTCGCAGTCTTTGAGCGTGCTGCCTATTCCGTTCGGGTGTCTCACCTCGCTGGAGCAACTTTCCCTTCGCAACTGCCCTATAGGTCATCTCCCGCGCGACCTAGGCCAGCTTCGTAGCATCAAGATCCTCACCCTCTCGTATCTGCGAAGCCTTGCTTCACTTCCTGATTCATTCTGTCAACTGTCGGCCCTCTCCCACCTTTCTCTTGACCACTGCCCCCGATTCGCCAGGCTACCAGATAATATTTTTCAGCTGCCCGACCTAGATACGCTGCATCTAGACAATCTGCCTGCTCTCACTTCGCTTCCCAATTCGTTCGGCCAGCTGCCCGCTCGCAAACCCGTGGGATTTCCCGCCCTTCGGAGTCTTAAGATCCACAATTGCCCTCGCCTATCCTCGCTCCCTGACAATATCGGTCAGTTTTCCGCTCTCCAGCAGCTGCATCTGAAGTTCCTTGATCATCTTACGGTTCTTCCGGATTCCCTGGGGTTCATTAAGGCGATGAAGGAGTTGAAAGTGGTTGAGTGCGCCAATCTTGAGAACCTTCCCGAGTCCGTATGCGCCATGGGAGCGCTCACAAGCCTCATTTTTTACGGCTGCTATTTTTCCGGCCTGCCCTGGGACATCGGGCAGCTCCAAAACTTGGTTACTATGAAGCTGTTTTCCACACGCCTTCTTCACCTGCCTGACTCGTTCGGGCAGCTGGGGAAGCTGAAGGAGCTGACCATATACGAATGCTACGACCTATTTGAGCTCCCCGCCTCGTTCACCAACCTCTCTTCATTAGAGACCCTACTCATCTATGGTGGATCCTCGCTCATAGACTTGCCCCTGGGTTTCGAGAATCTGTCAAAGCTACGTCGACTAGAGCTGCTAAACTGCGCCATGCCGTACCTCCCTGATAGGTTCGGGGAGCTGCTGAGCCTGGAGATTCTCATACTTCAAACGACTGACACGTACAAAAGAATCGGGGTTAATTTCGAACCCGCCTCACGGCCCGCTCATCTGGGGTATGAGAGCGAAGGCGAGGAGTTCGAACTGGACGGATCCTGCTCCCTGCGTGCCTTTCCTGGGACCTTCAGCTTGCTCACGCGCCTTGAGCAGCTGATCATAGACGGGTGTGAGATGCTGGAGGAGCTGCCAAGCGGCATGGGCAATCTGCGCAGCCTGAAGGTCCTGAAAGTGGAGAACTGCAAGCGGCTGAAGGTCTTCCCGTCCTTCTTGCTCCCTGCTGGGGCTGATGGCCAAGCTACAGACTCTTCTGCTGCTGCTGCCACCTCATCTGCTGCTGCTGCCACCTCATCTGCTGCTGCTGCCACCTCATCTGCTGCTGCTGCCACCTCATCTGCTGCTGCTGCCACCCCATCTGCTGCTGCTGCCTCCTCTGCTGCCATCCCCTCTCCGCTCCCACAGCTTGAAGAGCTGGTGATCTCTTTCTGCCCGAAACTAACGAACCTTCCAGAAGGCCTTCATCTGCTGCCGAGGCTGAATCACTTCATGCTCGAAGACTGCACCAGCTCGAAACTCGCCAGCCGTAGCACTACCTCGCCTTCATTACCCCCACTAGTAGCACCCATCACCCTTCCACGCTCTGTAGAGACAGTAATCATCTCAAACGCCTTCCAGTCAGCCCACTACCTCCCAGAATCCTTCCTTTCCCTGGACCGCCTTCTCCACTTGAACCTATACGACCTCCGATCCCTCACGCACCTTATAGCCCCACCAGCCCTCTCCCAAACCCCAGACAGAGCCGAAGCTGACAAGAAATTCACACCTCATGCTCCTCTGCCTGTGCTTCCCAGGATGCCTGGATCGATAGGGCAGGCTGGATTGGGGCGCCTGTCGTCTCTGGTGCACCTTCACATTGTGAACACCAACCTCCCCGCACTCCCGGAAAACCTAGGCGATCTGAAAGAGCTAGCAGTATTGCTGCTAGAGAAGTGCCATGCCATCACATCCCTCCCCTCCTCCATGGTTACCCTTCCCAAACTGCAGCAGATCAATCTCAAGACCCTTCCTCTGCTGACTCACCTGCCCGAGAATCTCGGGCAGCTGAAGGCACTCAATGAGTTGGGTTTGGATTCCTGTAAAAGCCTAGAGAACCTTCCATCTTCCTTCACTCTGCTCTCCTCCCTTATAATGCTTAGCATAATCAACTGTCCTAAGATTACTTGTCTTCCAGATTCCCTTTCCTCTTTCACCTGCCTTTCCTCTCTGAAACTCAATCGTCTGCCCAAGCTACGTTTTCTCCCATCTCCATTCTCCCTCCCATCACTTGTCCAAGTCTCGCTGCAAGGATGCAAGGCGCTGAGGGCTCTGCCCAGCGACTTGGGCAGTTTGTCTTGTCTGAGGGAGGTGGATCTGGACGTGTGTACTCAACTGAAGGAGCTGCCAGGATCGCTGGTGGATAGAGTGAATGTGATTCAAGTGAAGGGTTCTTGGGGAAAGAGC